GGAGTTCTGTTACTCTTTTTAATTGCTTATCCGTATCCCATTAGTTATTGTAAATCGAAGCAGTAACATATTGTACTAAAGGTCACTTGATGACATAATGACTATGTTTTTCGTTTTCTCGTTTTCCCTCCAACTTTTTTGTCTGCATTAAATTTTCGACATTTTTGTTGATCTTATAAAAGTGATTTTAAAGTGCTGATGATAGCAAAATCACACAAACTTTCAAAGCTAATATATATATATAAGTGAAGCATAGAGCAACTGATTTGTTGACGACAAAAACAACTATGATGTCTCACTGCTTGGATACGCATTAACTATCACTTTCCTTCTTTTCATTTAACAAAAATTGTGTGTAGAAAAATAAAATAAAAATGAAAAAGGAAAAGTTTTGAAGGTGACACTGCAAACTTCATAAAAATTAATTATTGAGCGACAGCATACAGTAACGATGCCCAGATTGCAACCGAATGCACACCAATAACAACAGTTCCCTGCGAGAGGAATAAATTTTATTGAGCTTGAATTGAACAAAAAAAAAAAAAAAAAAAATAACAAGCCACCGAAAACTTTGTTGCGTTGTTCCCTGAAGTGAATAAAACATTAGAGAAGAACCATACGAGCAAGAACATGTGAAAAGTTGTCGAAGAAAAAGGAACGAAAAAATATTGTGTCGTCCTTTTCTCTAAAATTTAATTTCAGAAAGAAACGAAAGAAAGTAATGAACATCACAACATAACAACAACAATAAAGGAAGCGTATCATCCGCAATGTTTTTTACTCCCACATCTACCATCATTATCTATCTAACCATTAGCTGCCGTTTGTTATATATTTATCTTTATTTCGTAAAAAAAAAAAAAAAATTGCGCTAATCTGTTAGATAAATAGTTTTATGCATGAATTTCAATTTGTAGCAAAATACATTTGCGAATTTTGTTTTCTTTCATGAAGGACTTTTTGCTTGGTTTCACTGATGAGAGTTTGCATGGCGGGGGGAGTTTTTATATTGAAATTAATTTCTCTTCTATTTACCTTTATATGTTGATTTATTATGTAAAACATTATCGCTGGGACTCTGCTGTGCAAGCTTTACTCAATACTCAAGTGTAAGTAAACCGCCCTCTTACCACCTTTCCAATTATTATCTCCTTATGCATAGCCAGCCTATGAATAGTCTTCTGATTTATACAATCAACCGCATGAAGAAGACGATCGCATATTCTTTTATAGTCTGCAGTGTTTCCATTTGAGAAAACGTAAGTTGTGCGAACGCATTCGTACAGAAGTATTTTAATGTCACAAACTACATTTTCGTCATCTATCTTGGTGGGCATATAAGTAACATTCGTTATGACACTTGAGAAGGACATTAAACCACATATACACATATATAGATTATGGACTTTGAAAACGAAAAGTTGTTTTATGTCTTTAAGTCTTATTTTTATTCGTTCTCGTACAACACACACACACACACACACACACACGCACACACACACACAAACCCATCCGTATGTGTACATACGGCGTTTGGCAAGTCGACAACCACAACTCAATGATATGATGATGTAAAAGAGATTTGTGCGTATGACCGTCTGTCTCTGCAGAAAAAGTTAGTCTATTTCAAGCTTCCCTTACAATGTCTATGCATTTAGCCATTACTGCAACTGAAACTAACATTAATTTATGTAGCGTAAAAAAACAAAAACAAAACACATATTCTTAACAGCTGAGCGTGTTTATTATCCTTTAACAGGACAAAAACGTATTAAAAGAAAAGGAAAAAGCAATTAAATCTGTATATGGTCAAGGGTAAATTTTGCATAATTTATTTCTATGCAATAAAATTCCATTCTTGTTCAGCCAATTAGAAATTTAAACTTCACACATTGTCCGTGCGATTTTTCAACTGTTTGCATCAATATCTGTAAGTGAAGCAATAGCTTTATTACTCGCTCGCTCGCTCGATAAGTAAAATACAGAGCGAGATACAAGTGGAAAATCTCTTCTGATAGAATTCAAAGGATAATATGCTAACGTTCCTTACAGTCGCGAAAAGTCAAGTACTTTGCCGCCCATTATATAAAAAAATGAATTTCTTGTTAGCGTTAAAGGTTACTTTTTGCCAAATAGAGCGCTAGACGCGACTTTAAAGAAAGGCTCGATAAGCGTTAGCGGGACTTATCTATCTGGCTTAGGCAAAACTGGTTTAACACTTAACCCCAAGTGACAGTGAACAGCGTTAGGATTCTTTAATTGAGATCGAAACACATGGAAGACATAACATGATATTGAACGACTCAAAATTGATGCAAATTCACGAGCTGGCTGTGGCTGTTTAAGCATCTTTACTTAATATTGGAGATGAAAAATTGAATGCAAAAATATTTTCCGCTTGCAGGAGACCATCGCGGATGAAGCAATGACTCATCACAGTCCAGCTAGTGTTTTCTAGGATGTAAAAGACTGAATCTCCATCGACTGCCTTGAAGTGGTCTTTCACAGCCATCACATTCCACCTCTTTGGCCATCAATGGTTATTATCGATTTTGAAATCTCCAAATACGCTATCCACATAGGGTCAATGGTCTCCATTGAACGTAGATGCATTTTCGCTTTTGCTTAAAAAAAATTGTGATCTCCAGACCGTACTGTACACAAAATTGTTAATCTCTGTCGAAGTAAAAGTGTTTCAAGTCTCTATATATGACTTGTCTTCACGTTCAACAAATTCTGATTTTTTTTTTAAATCTATATGCTATAAAATCTCACACTACTATTTTCGTAGCAACGGTGAACCTTCAATTCAAGTCGGCAAACGAAATAAGCAAATCCTAACCTAATTGTTTTACATTTCTATTATCCAATAGCGGCCTAGGCAAAGTCTCAGACACAACGTTGATGCGCAATTAATTAATACATTATTTTTTGAATACATCTTCAGAACATATGTGAACTTTATGTCGCATAATGTTTTTTGAACTTAGTTTTGACGAATCGTAAATTATCAAACGAGATCGATGCTAAATGTAATGAGATAGACTAAGATAAGAACAAGATTTGACGCAGTTTACAAGTTGTGTTGACTTAACATGATTTTACTTGAACAGTTAATTGTGTATGACGAATATCTATGCTATTGTTCGGCCATCTGGTGTTGTCGGATTTCTTTATAAAATTTTATTATTATGAATATATATTTTGACATGAAAATATATTTTCCGCATCAGTGGGCGAGTAGGCACATGTTTGTGTTTAGCAATGGTCACGGGCTCAACTCTCAAGTGCGTGGGCCCAAGTTGCCCGGCAGCCTTTAAATGCATGCTTTCTAAATTTATTTACAAAATATGTGCATAATAAATAAATAAATAAATAATTAATGTATTTTGGAAAATACTTTTTTTTTCCTTTTCTCAAGTCGCTTCATGTTACACATAGACGAGTGTGCTAGACGAATAAATGCGTATGTCACTACAGAAGCCGACACAGTTAACATTGAGAGGAAAAACTTGCTTCGGCGACCTAATATATGTCTGCTTAATAATAAGATTTCATTTATGAACAAGCAAAAGCTGCCTTGATTTTCATATTCCATCGACATAACTGGGAGACATAGGCATCAGAATCTGTATAACACATACAGTCGTTTTTAAACTGTTCTTTCCTACACCTTCCTATTCGTCCATTCGAGCTTTTGTTTGTTTTGAATTTAAATTGCTATCTTGGCTGATGATGGGCGCCGAAAACACTCGCTCCTTGGCTTCGCACACAGCTTTGTTACTTACTATTGTCACGAAAAGTCAAGTAAGAGAAGGAGTAATACTTTCGATCGGATCTTAAGGAGTATTGCAGGCTCGATTCAATTGTTTTTTTTTTTTTTTCATTATTCTTTCCTTTCCTTTCTTTCATTGTACAATTTCAGCGACAGCCTTAGTAAAGTTCTTTTGTAGAGATTTACACGAACACACCTTTTTGTAGATGTATTGGAATCATTTTAATAAAAAGTAAAAAAATTTGTAGGAAATTGTTGAGGAATAGTGTCATCTTTAGCTCGTTAATGAAAATAATTCGAACCCGTTCATCTATTTTCATTTTAATTAGTTAAATTTAATTAATGGTTCCAGGCATGTTAAGCTGTAGAGTTAAGCTGCATACTTATCTGCTGTAATAGCGTTAAAATTTAACTTATCTTAGTTCTCTAATTGCTTCAGCTTTAAGGATCTAATAGAAAGTGGATGCACAAAATGTGTGCACCAATTTTCTCCAAATTGAAAGTTACTGGACAGATATATTAGACTAGTTGAGAGAGAAATGACGGTAACACTGCCAACACTGCCAAGTTTAAGGGTAAGAAAGTCTTACTCATCTATGTTCTTAAGAAATTTTCATAAAATGTATGAACCCATACAATTATAGTCCGTGTAGATCCTAATTAATGTCCATTTTATTTGATTAGTTTTTATTAACAAACAATATAAGTGCAAAAGACATATTAAGTGCCACCAAAGACCTTTCTCGAAGACTCCGAATCAACCAATGAAACAATTTTTCTTCTACAACTAATTGCTTTAATTCATTTGTACATAAAATTGCAGTTTCTAGAGCTTGTGTGAAATTTAATAAATAAATTAATAGATATATACATATATACATTTTCTCTTTTTTTTTATTAAAAATTTTATATAAATTGATTTTATTAAATTGAAATTTTTTTTTTTTTTTGTATTAAAAACATATTTGAGTGAAAAAGCCAGCAGCACATAAAAAACAAACATGGTTCTATAATAGCATTAATGCTTCACTTCATCACACAGCAGCACGTATGAAATATATGTATATGTTTGTGTATATGTATATATATATATGTATATATAAATCGCCTTTAAGTGCATTTCCATAAGAAAGTGATTAGCGTTGAATTATTAATGATTAGCATTGAAACTGTGATTAAATTGTTTTTCATAATTCATGATACACTGTAGATTAATGCTACTCACAATATGATGTGTGTACACGGGCAGGCGTATAACGTAAGTAACTATGATATATTGAAAGTCATGTGCTGTGAAACATAATCCGTAAAGAAACCAATCGAAGCAATGGCAAAAATGCGGAATTTTTTGACTTTTCTCTCTGAACCGTTGAATAAAGATTTTGTTTGATTTATTTATTTATTTTTTTTATTTTTTTTATTTCTTTATTTATTGATTTTTAATATTAACGATTAAAATCAAATTTATTACAATATACTTTTGTTTACATATATGTAAATATGTACCTATTGGTTTGGGGAAATAATATTGAAAGATTTTTGTTACTAAGCGCTCGCGGTGCCATAAATTTGGCACTAAGAATGCGTTATACATGCATACGTTGATTAGGGGAAATAATATTGAGAGCCTTTGAAATATCCATTGTGTCCTGGTACTGTTTACCCATACATACATACATCATATTTATTAACTTCAAATTTTTTGTAGCGCGAAGGCCTTCAATCTGAAGAAAGAAGGAAAAAGGGCGTAGAAAAGAAAGCACCAAAACTTGAAATTGGTGATGAATGAATTGTAGGCGGGCAAGTTAGGATTTGGTCAAAATCGTCCAGTTAATGAGTACTTCTTTGCGCACTGCACAGTTTTGTGGGCAAATCGCATTCTTGTTTAAATAAACTTCAAGCTATTGAATGCGAAAGATGAGATAATCGTCAAGCATGGCTAAAATCTTTTAAATTTTCAAAAGCCGAGTCAATCATTGGGTTGTCATTCCCTTTAAGAAGAACATTTTTTCTTGCATTATTATTTACCATATATCAAAATTGATTATAAAAAATATTTAGTAAGAGAATTTCGATTATTTAACAAAATAAGTTTCGGCAGCCATTTTGAATGTGCGTGCCCTCGGACAAATCATTCCAAAATTCAATATTTCAAGGGAAGATTTAAATGAAAGTACATCATGAACTCGCGTCAATTTGGTTTTTTTTTTTTTTTTTTTTAATCTCACTTTTTGTAAATTAAAGTCCTCTGGTAATAGAATAAAAGGCATGACATGAACATGAACATGGATTTAAATTGATTTGAAATTTCACGATGATTACTTCCCCAAGCGTTTAATTTAATTTATTTTCATTCATTTTCGTGATAAGCATCTCGATATAAAACTTTTTTCAATAAGGAAAAAAATTTATCAAATGCAATAAAACAAAAACCAATTTTATGATTAGTTTCTCTTTGTTTTGTCTTTTTTTCTTTTTTTTTTTAAATTATTTTTCAAGCGTTATGAAAAAACATTGAATATTTGTTTTATTTTCGTTAAGCAATAAGAAACTCATTAGAACTTGGAAAAAAAGCAGAGCTTATTTTATAAATAAATAAATGATTATTAATGCGATGGTTATTTAAAAAAAATTTTTTTTTTTTTTTTTTATATTATTTTTACACTTTACATACACACACATAAAATTACTTAAAAATAAACAATTACCGCTTATTTTGATGAATTTTTTTTTTTTTGGTTTTTGATTATTTATTTATTTAATTACAATACATATTAAATTTATTCATTAATTTCCCGTATCAATTTTGGACACAAATTAACTCTATAAGCGATTTAAGTTTTCCCCTAATTAATATATATATATATATACATATAAGCATATGTGTATATACACACATATCTATATATATATATATATATATATATTTGTATATATATATGTAATTTTTTTTTTTACTTCTCATCAAGAGGAAGTAAGTAAGTAACCCGTTAGTATATTTGATGTCTAATGTCGAGCATGTAGTTTCGTACGCGGTTAAAGCAACACTGAAAACCCTACTGTCTGGCAATAATGTTTCAACTATGCATACAGCAGGATTTACACGGGATGCTTATTGTTAACACTTACACATACACACACAGCCATACATATGCCACATTACTCACACACACACACATACACACACACACACACACACACATACGAAACTCCTTATAAGAAATCAAATCACTTCAGGACACACACGCACGTTTCGGAAACTGTGCAAAAACGTTAACAAATACAACTTACGAAAGGACAATTTAAAGTGACTTTTCGTGATGAGAGACTAAAACGTGTGAATATGTTTGATGGCTATGAGCTTTAACTAATTTTTCTACAAATCCCATGAAAACTCATTACAATTTGAATAGTAGACGTATGTGTGTGAACTCACTCACACGCACCATTTAATATCGCCTGTAATAATAATTAGTTATAAAAATTAATGCTTGCATTCATTCAGCAATAAACACGAAAGAGATAGAGTGAAAGAGAGTAAAAGTGTTGGTGGGTAAATGTGAATATGTGCCAATATAAAGGAGAGAAAAATTTGGCGCCAAAAAATTTGTATTTAAAGCGCAAGTACCATGACGAGAACTGTACCCAGTATTTGAGAATAAATGCTGAATAAGACTCGTATTGAGATTCAGCGTAAGGATATTATTATGCGATATTTTAGCCACATGAAATAAAACTGAACGGCAAACACATTCACATTCATATTCAAATTCACATTTCTTTATTACCAGAAACTGAACTATTAACCCAGTAATGCATGATTGGTTCATTATCTCAATCTTGAGGTAACTAAAGAGAAGTAAATAAATGATGATGAACTTTGATGGCAGCCTGAAGGGAATTAAGAAAATAAAAACATTTAGTGTCATTGATCACTACCCGTACCAGATTAAAATTGAATATATATGAAAATTCATCCATCGGGTATACATTGAAATTTTTGTACATTTCTCTGCTACACTTTATGCGTAGTGGAAGAAAAAGTTAGTAAAAAGGCAATTTTGTATTCGCTTTGGCAAAGAGAGGTGTTCTCATTTTACGTGGCACTGGTATAGTCCTTCGACCGATTTAGCCCGCCACCTGCCTTCAGAAACTTGCAATGCTTACATAAATTTGAGGTCGATAGGTTCATTTTTGTTGCCAGAAGAATGTTTACAACAGACATTGGAAAGACGGACAAACGGATATGCTTAAGACGATTCGGCAATTGATGCTGACCAAGAATATGTGTGCATTATGGAATCTTCGAAACTCCTTTCTGGACGGTGCACCTCGTCATTCGATGATGGGTACAAAAATTATACGCGGCCAAGCGTCTCTCTAGAATATAAAAGCACGGAAGTGAAACCATTTTTGAAGCGAACGAACTTTAGATAACTGTCTATGAAATCAATTAACGCTGAAATGCATAGGAGAAACACTCCGCAAATTCCAATGGAATTCTCTTACCGCTCTGCAGCTTGGAAAGGCACTAAATATTCTCGCCAATCTACTCGACAGGCAAAGGAATCTCTACTTAGAAGAATTAAACTAGTTAGCCGGTTACATTATATACAAAAAGTTGACGAATCTTGTTATTATTTTAATTTATAAATGCAAGCCAATGTAGGCCTTTACAGCCCCATTAGAATTTAAAGCAAGTTTACTTAGAAAAAGCTGTAGGGGCGCAAATTTGTCTTGGTATCTACAGAATGCATGAAGTAACACAAAATTTGCTGTTGTCCCATCCCCTGATAGTTTATAGCGAGCTAAACACGACGTCACCATATTTGAGAAAAAGAGTCAGTCACTGACGCTTAAGTATTCTTTCCCACATTTATACGAAAGGTAAGGAATATATCATCAATTGTCAGTCGATTTCAAGAACTTAATGTTTTTTGTTTTACAACCTATTAAATGCTTCATAAAATCTGAGTTGTGATTACGACTTGTAAACATTGTGTATATATATCACGGCGGAGAACATTGGCCTATGTTCGCAACAGGTACATACCTGTTGCGGATGCAAATGAGTAAACAACTTTCCATGTACAGGAAAGATGTGATGAATAGTTTTAATTGTAATTTGTAGGCAGACATAAATCATAAATAAATCGTTGAATTCCCCGCGAAAATAGCATTTACCCTATTTAAGGTTGACGACCATCCTCCTGTCGCAGATTTCCTATGTAAAATTATAATTGTTGTTGTAGTTTCAAAAGCTTGGGGTTTAAGGCAACTCTTAAGAGAGATATGCTCGCTCAAGTATATTAGGAATATAACCCTATATATATATATATATATATATATATTTCCCCCTTGGATTGTTGCGTTTATTTTATATTCTTATTATTTTTTTTTTTTGCGACTTTTTAAAATGAAACAATAATCAGAAGGCACTAATTTTTTTTTGTTTTTCGTATGTAAACAAAGTATATTTAAAATTGAATTTATTTCTATTATGAGCATAATAAACGCAATAATGCAAACCACAGAACTGCAAAATCTTATTTTTCTTTTTTTTTGGTTCATATATATATAACCACAACTTCACATAAACAAAACGAACGAACTACAAGTGAAATAAAATTCCAACAATAAAACCATTGCCTTGCTTTACCACTAAGTAATGGCCCAAATGAAAAAAAAAACAAAGAAAGAAAGAAAAAAAATGACAAAAGAAACACGAATAAAAGCACATTAGCTACAAATGTTTTCACACCGCACCGAGCTGAAATTTCTCCGTAGCGCCATATTATAAGCCAACAATAGAAGAAAACAACTAACAAAAAATGTCATCAAAGTTGAGAAGAATTTTGGATACCACAACAAGTGAATGCATAGAGACATTGAATCAAATCAAATTTCAGATCGGTAACTAGCTATAATTCGTAGACTTTATTCAAGGGGCTGGATAAATAATATCGAACCATGCAGTTTTTTGTGAATACATCTGCGAGCTTGCTCAAGCTTAACATTCGCCCGACTTTAACTTGACGTCTTCTTCGTTTGAGGGACGTAAAGAATTCCAAGTAAGGGCGAACGAAAAGCCAATCGTTGAAGAAACGATTGGTTCGTCGGACGAGGGGCTCATCAGGGAAGAAACGGCCAAACGAGTAGGCAAGAGTAGGATAGACGGAAGATGGCCTTGTCGTAAGTAACTAAAATAAAATAAAATCTCTTGCTAAGTGGCAACGAAGTGAAAAACGCAAGATATCCCTGTTCTTGTCGCTCACAATCTCAACGGATATGTAACGCAATTGTGTTGGTGTCGAAATTGGTCAAACAATGTCAAAATAAATGTATGAAGAGGGAAATATTCAGTAACATTTAAGGGTCTTGCAAACTTTCCTTTGT